GGTCTAATCAGAAACTCAGGCTTATAGGATCTATTTTCAGCAAGTGTTAACCAGAGAAATGAAAAGCTAGATGACACCAAAGCTCTGAAATTCTAAGTATCCACAATCATTTTCAAGTTGTCTACTTTTTATCAGCATTCTGTTATACTGAGCTAATATATCCAAAGTCACTGTTCCCACTGAGGGAACTTGAATTTCAGGTTTGCAATACTAAATTACTTTTTACTTCAAAGCGAGAACATTTTATGGTGGGGTAAATACTGCACACTGGTCACTGGTCCTTGGGTGCAGGCTCTAAGGTAAATTCCTAGCAGTGCTCTAGTAAAAGGTAGAAGGTAAAGATGTCCTCATTCTTATAGGCAACTATCACCACATACCCAAAAGTTCAAATGATCATACTGTGGTCCAGAAACTTCCTTCAGATAATAACTCCTGTCCTCATTTTATTTTTCCACCTCACACCAACCCGTCTCTCCTCCTCCCACAGAATTAACCATCTGTCTGCCAGGCCCCTGGGCACTTTGTACATTCCCTGGTTACAGCTCATGCTCTATATCTTTGGGTAAGTCTGTCTCCTGCTCTGGACAGACAGCCCCTTGAGAACAGGTGCCCTGCCTTACTCATCATAGTAGATATTTAATAAATGATTGAATAGTTTCCTAATGAATAAATGATACATACAGAAGGCTAAACATAATACATGTCTGACAGCCTCTCTTGATTTTACAGTTCCACAGGCACAGACATAAGGTAGAAGGTAATCTTGATTTTACAGGTGCAAACATAAAGGCTCTGGGACATTAAGTGAACTCCTAAATCCATCCAAATATTAAAATGGCAAGACCCAGGACCTGAATTCTGTGCTTTTTCTGGAGAAAAGAAATCGCTGCCATTATCCTATTTTCTAACATAGTGACTTTTACAATATTTAAACGGAACATCATAGTCCCACCTCCCCCAAATACACCAGAGCTCACATTTCCTCTGATGACTGGAAATAAGAAAGAAACAGTAATTAGACAAGAAAATAATGCCCTAGTAATGTTTGTAATGTTTCCCTTACTGCAGTGTAAGGTCCTCACAGGCAGAAGCCATCTCAAATTTATCTCCCCATTGCCTGGAATACTGACTCAGACATGAGAAGGGGCCAATGAATATCAATGAGTCAACAAAATCCAACCCTGTACTATGTGATTAGGAATTGTGAGCAAGGCACTGTCTGCAACATGCACGGGCCGAAACATTCAACCCCTAGGTGCAAACAGTAAGCTCCAAGGTCCCAAACGTCAAGGGAACATCAAGTGGCTCCTAGGTTCTACCACAGATCTAAGCCACTCCACCATCAGCTACCAGTGTCTGTAGGTCCCTTCTCTTCCCAGGCCCTGTGTGGAACTCCCTAATCAGTATTAACAAGAGAAAAGAGAGGATGGGCCAGCCAGCTTCCTGGCAGCTGGGAGTGGGCTTGCTTCCAATAGGCCACACAAGAATGGTACTCTGAGCAGCATCAGAGAGAGGTGAGAAGCTGGGAGATGCTGAGATCGAGAGCATAGTAAAGAGGCCACTCCTGCAGGCTTGGTAACAGATAGGTCCCCAGAAGTCGGAGGAAGGAGTGTTAAAGCTGAGAATCTTTTCCCTTTCTCCCTAAATTGAGAAAGGCTGGCAAAGGCCAGGAAGGTAAGGGGAAGAGGCCATGTTAAAAGAACACATGCATGGAGAGGGAGGAGACAACATGTGTCAGACCTGGCATGTGGTTCAATTACCCATTTTCCTCTGGACTCGGGGCTTTGACACAAGAAAGCCCAAACTCCCTTCCAAACAAACCAGGCCTTAAGCTTGGCCCAGCTCCCAACAACTGGGCCACGGCACAGATCCCACAGGTGGAAGCACAGGTTATCAGCGTCCATCAGAACAACCATTTTTAAGTGTGCCTGGCTCCTCATTACTGACAAAGGATGCACACACCTTCTCTGCCCCTCTGTGGCAAAATACTGTGACTCCATTCTTATAAACTGGCCAGGAAGATACCTGCAGCTTTACTCAGGTACTCAAGCAGGTGACAAGCAAGATGCTGTTATACAACTTGTCTAAGTTCTGCCCATCCTGCCAGGCCTTGGAGTCTGCTGACAGCCCCTCGGTTGGTGTATCCGAATCAAACTTAAGATTTCCTGGCCACCCATCTCCTATATTCTTGTATCAGTGAGCCTGTAGCACTCTAGCTCTCCTGATCACTGAGACAGGTTAGAGCTGGTGTAACAGAGAAGAGGTATGTGGTCTGGAACGCCCCAGTATACGGCTATAATTGCCAAATGGGGCCATTGCTGTTTATGATTACGTATTGGCCAAAACATGAATGTCAAAATCTCCTTAGACTGAGGGCTCCTTAAACCCCAAGGTCCAGTGCTTGCTAAGTACTTTTAAGCACCCAGTGCCCCACCCCACCCCCACCCCCACGCAGTGGGACGACTAGGTTAAACATTTCCTAGTTATAAAAGGCAGGGTGGAGAGAGCAATTTGACAAGTAACCCCACAATCTATGGGGCTTAACAAGCACACTGATATCACTAGCATGAGGCCAGCTAGCCACATCCCCAAGATGTGGCCTTTAGTTTTCTGCCCACAATCCAAACACTAGCAGCTGTTGCCACGGGAGACAAGGTGACCCAGAGGCGTGGGCACAAGACCCAGGGATGGAAATCCATTTTGTCTGGATCCACCCAAACAACTGGGTTTCCCCCACTGAGAAAAGGTGAAAAAAAAAATCCGCCCTTAGCAGTAGGCCCTTTCCGGGCAGGTCGGAGATGCCCCACGCCTAGCAGTCATGAGAAGGCCAAGGGCAAGTTAGCTTGAACTCTCAAAAACATTGAAAGCATTCATATGCTTCTGGCCTTGGGGGATTTGGAAGAGGAAAAAGCCAGCCAGAGCTCTACTTCCCCAAAGGGCACACTCCTACCAAGGCAAGGCAAAGCAAGACCTTTCCTCCAAGCTGTCAGCAGCACAAAGACTGAACAGCAGCCATAGCCACCTTACCAGCAAAGACCCACAGCCTGCTCCCCACACCAGCTAATAGTGCCCTAGTAGTCAGCAAAGAACGCCTTCAGACCCATCAACGCAAAGAGCAGCTCAGCTCGGCCACTAGGAAAAAGGAACCCATGGGGTCACAACCCCACCTCTACCATGTCAAGTCCTTACATCTCTCTCCTCCAAAGCTTTGCAAACTTCAAAAATGAGACTAACTGCCTCTCTATTAAGCCTACCGGCCCTGTCTATTTTCCAGGAGTTTCTTTCTTGATCTCATTAAAACCATGTGAAAGTGCTTTGAACACTGTAAAACACTTTATGCAGCTACTTGTTTTATAATTGGTGCCATTTTTTTTTTCTATTTCAAGGCATAAAGTGCTAGTCCTCAGTGTGCCCAGGCAAGAAAAAAGGCAGGTTTTGCCAACGCCTCCCCAGGCAGCAGAAGTATATCGCTCATTCACCAGCCCCCTCCCCTACAAACACCGGAATAAGTAAGAATTAAGAACCAGAGCTGGGACCACAAGCCAGGGCTCACCAATCATCACAACACACCACCTCCTCTGAAGTCAACTCTGGCTCCTGATCACACACCCAGAGCACACTTACTTCCCAGACAGCACACTGCCTTCCCTCTCCCTTTAGTGACTGGATCCGCCCAGTTACCCAAAAAAAAAAATTATTATTTTTTAAGTCAGCACTCCCACCATATGTGGCATTTATTTCCAGAGGAGGCCTGTCCTGGGTTCCTGTGGACAGATGTTGCTTTGTGCCTGCCTGACACGGCTGGCAGCCCCCGTACAGCTGCCCCAAGCAGGTGGCCACGGATGGAGTCCGCTCCTGGCCCAGGAGCAAAGATGACAATCTCTGCGGGGCTCAGGCCCTGGAAACCCTCTACTCCTTTCTCTGAGGCCTGGGACCCCAAAGACACCCCCCACCACACATTGCCTTGGTGTAGAATCAAACTTTAAAGGGGACTGAGTTGAAGACAGGAGGCCAAGGTTCCCCCCCACCCCCACACACACACCAATTCCCAGCGAGGGGTGTCTAAGCTAAGAAAAGGCCCAGGGAAGTGGAGAGAAGTCACTGACCCCTTCTATCGGCCATCTGTGAGCTCCCGCCTGACCTAGCTAGTGCGATGTGGAGCATAAAGGCGGTCCAGACAGATGGCAAAGCGCTTTGGGAAGGAGTGCTCTGCAGGAATGCGAGCACCGATGCGAGGCCCACTTTGGGGTGCGCTTTGTTATCTCATCAGCTCCAAGCTCCCTCTTTTCAGCATCTACCCGCAATCTCAGACCAAAAGACCGAAATACTGTGACGAAGGCGGGGGAGAGGCCCCTACTCTCTGCCACTTGTCTCTCATTTGAAAGTCAGAGCATTGCTCTGCAACTAAAGTGCGTGTGTGCGGAGGGGGCGGGAGACTGGCACAAGCGAGTCTAAAAATACTCGATAAAAATGCTAATCCCGAAGGCAAAGAGAGAAGGAAGAAGGAATCTGTCAATCACGAGGCTCCCGCTCCTCACCCACAGTCCCAGCTGTACGGACTGCATTCCTGCTGAGGAGGAAAGTGGAGAGGCAGGACTGAAGAAAAGAAAGGGAGAGACACCACCACCTCCACGAGCGCGGGCCGCGGGGGCGGGAGGCGGCGGCGGAGGAGGGGCTCCGGCCGGCGGAGCCGAACAAAGCGGGCCTCAACTTCTAGCCCGCAGCTCGCCGGAGCGGGGGCGGCCACTGCCAGAGGCACCCCACTTGCCCGGAGGTGAAAAGCCAATGTGCGGTCTGGAAGTGAGAGTGCCGCGTGGAAGCCCCAGGCTCTGAATCTTTGCAAATTCAGAGGTTTTGTTTGGGGTCCCCCTACGCCTGCCGGTCCGCGCTCCCGGCCCCCCAGTACGTACACACACACACACACACACACACACGCTCACTCCTGCTCCAACCCCGCACGGTCGGCCCCACCGCGCCCCCGGGGTCGCCGGGGCCCCCACCTGGGGATGGTGATGCACTTGGTGTTGACGTTCTGCGTGGTGATGGCCTTCTCCAGCTCGTCCAGCTGCCCTGTCTTCTTGAGCTTCTTGACCAAACTCTTGACCGCCTTCTCACACCACTTCTCCTCCTGCCCGTTCTGCTCGCCCTTCTTCCAGCCCAGCAGGCGCTTCACGATCGGGGGCGTGAAGGGCAGGATGGACGACATGGCTGGGAAGGGCGCGCGGGCGGCGAGGGGCGCCCCCGGCGGGGCTGGGCTCGGCGGGATGCCGGGGGCGCAGAGGGGAGCTCCTCCGGAGCCGGCCGCGGCCACCCAAACTTCGCCTCAACTCTCGGTGAACTTGCCGGTGCTCCGGGCCGGGCCGCGGCGCTGCAGCCTGCGGGGCTCGGCGCGCCGCCCTGCGCCCCGAGCAGCTCCCACGGCGGGAAGAAGGACGGCGGGGAGGCGAGCGGGCGGAGAGCAGCGGCGCGGGGCAGGAGAGGCCCCAGGCGCGGGTCGGAGGCGGCGGCCGCGAGACTCGGAGTGGTAGAAGAAAGTTTGGGTTTCCGCACGGGGTAGCTGTTTGGGTGCCGCCTCCAGGAAGGAAAGGCCAACCCCCAGCCAAACTTTGCTCGCCTCGTTCGCTTTGATGCGCAGATCCCTCCGCCCCAGCAGCCTCGCCTCCCCGCCGCCCTCCTCCTTCCCGGCACACTCGCCCGCTCGCTCGCGCGCTGGGCTGGCCCGGGGCGTGCGCCGCGCTCCCGCTCCCGCTCCCGCCCGCTGCCAGTCTGTGTTTCATGCAAATCCGCGTGCAGCCTCCTTTCCAAGCGCTGTCACCGCCCCCTTGCCGCCGGGGCTCCCCGCCTCCTCCCCCGCGCCCCGCCGCCTCCTCCCCCGGGCGCCCTGCCGGCCCCCGGCCTCCGGGAGGGCGCCCGGCCTTCCCCCGCCGGCGCTGAGCACGCCCACGTGGGCGACCGGGGACCGCGGCGGCCCTAACTTGAACGCGCAGGACCCCGCGCGGCCCCGACCTGAAGGCCGGCGGCGACGGGAGGAAGTCGTGGGAAAGAAGCGGCGAGAGGGGCCCCAGGCGGGAGGGCTGGGCTTGGGCCGTGCGTCCTCTCTCGGAACCCACGCTCTGGAAGCTCAGTCGGAGTGGCGGGCCCGAAAGGTTAGATTCGCAGCGAATGAGCACCGTCCGGCCAACGGCTGGCGGTGCACCCCTGCGAGCACTCGGGTCTGAGAATGGCCGCACCGAAGGCCAAGGCCCAGGAAGTCGGGGTGCGCACTTGGACGCGCGAGCGCTAGTGCGGGTCAGGGGCCTGGGACGCGCCGGCCACCCTGGAGCTGATTTTTCTTTTTTTGAAATCTCTCATCGGGAAGATCACACCGGCCATCCGAGAGCCCCGGGACTCCGTGGAAGTAGGGAGCTGGGAGGGGGGTGAAGTGGGCTCTCAGAGGTGGAGATTTGGGGACTCCAGTGACTCCCTGGATAGCTGGAGCCAGGGGTCCCATGGGTCTTGTGAATCAAGGGCCCAGCAGAAAATGGGTTTCAAAGACATCTGTTGGATTCATGAAGAAATGAATGGCGGCGCTTTAAAATATATCTTTGGAGGGAGGAAATTACATTACAGGGTGTTTGGAATCTTACCACTCAGAAAAACCCGCAGTTCGAGGCCCAATACATCGAAGTTCCAAAGCTGTGAACTCAACAAAAAGGGGAGCAAAAAGCTGCTCAGGAACTTCATGTATTCAAAGTTAGCCTCGGGGGGGAAGCAAAGAAAATGAGATATTGGGGAGCACGGGGGTTTTCTCTACAGCAGCAGAATTTGGGGGCATTTGCCCACAAACCCCTCAGCTGCTTTCAAGAGTTACCCCAGGCCCCAGGGCCTTTCTCCTGCTTCCCCTGCTCCACCTGATTCTCACTTGGGTGTCTAAGGCCTTTGTTTGTTTTTAACAGCAGGAAAACCCCAGTGGTGAGTAAGAAGTTATCTGCAAACCATAAAGCTGCCTGGAGTTGGGTGGGGAGTTACAAAGCCCTGTGAGGTGTGGCCCAATCCACAAAGTCAGCCCAGAAGCTGCAGGGGTCTCTGCCTTGTGGAGACTGATGGCCTCTCACAGGCCTGTCGGCTGCTGCTGCTGCTGCGGAGGGCGGTGCTCTTTGCCCTCCCCTCCTTCTAACTCCCTACCTGCTTGGACTTTAAAGGAAAATCTTTGAACCCTAACTGGGGCTTAACAGACCTGGTGGGTTCCTGACTGGTTCTCCTGCTAGCCCACAGCCACTGTAGTTTTGGGTTTCACTCCCATCTTCCCAGCCCTCATCAAAAAGGAGAAGAAAGGAAAGCAATCAACATTTATTGATGTCTTTCTTCGTTCCAGGTAACTCAACTACTGCCCTCTGATCTAATCTTCATGGTGGCCCTTGAGGTAGATGTCCCTATACCTCCCACTTACAGTGTGGCATCTGAGGTGCAGAGAGACTGTGATACTTAGGATTTAGGCAGCAGAGCTGGGATTTGGGATTTGAACCTAATGCTCTGTGAGGCCTGTCCACATTCTTGCCACTGAGCCCACTAACTGCCTTACAGAGTTGCAGAAGGCAAAGATGACATCATTCATAGAGCTCTTTGCAAAACAACTGTTCTTTACACAGGTGCACTATTGTGACACTACAAGAAATGTTTACTCACCTATAAAATGGGGCTAGAAATAGCTTTCCTCCCAACCTCCTAAGGTGACTGGAAATCTGATGTGAAAAGTTTTGCAGTCAAGTGCTGGAAGGGCTGGAACCACACTGGGGCAACTGCTAGTGCCGTGCAGAACGGTGTGGATGAGGGGGCTCAGTTCAGTTAGACACGGACCTATGGAGCACCCCACCCCACCCCCGACTCCGTGTTGCAACCCTCTTGTTCATTTCGGTGAACGCTGAAATGAACTGTGAAGGCCCCTAGCCTTAAGGAGTAGACTGCCTAGAGAAGCACCAAGGTGGGGTGGTGGGTGCCTGGGAGAAAGGGGCCATCGTGGTCATCATCTCCCAGTAAAACATTCAATTTAACCTGAACATCAAGCAGGTCCAACTGTTGTTGACAGGCAGTCAGGTAAAGTGAAACGGCGTCAAGCTGCATCAGTGACTGACCTGGCTTTCAGTCCTGGCTCTCGCCCTCCCTTCACCTTACTGAGTATCTCTTCTCTCAGCTGCAAGAATGAACAGTTCTTACTGTGCAAAGTGGTGAATAGAAAGAGCATTAAAATTGTTCACCTCCAGCACTAGCCCCTCATTTCACACAGGTGGAAAGGATATCTGGTAAAGGGAGAATTTGCTCTGGGGAGGTTAAGAGTTTGAGAGAGATCTGAGGATTAAATGTAGTGGAGGGGGCCTGGCAGTAGCTAGCCCTCCAAAGTCGTGGCGTTGGGAGGCCCCTTCGTGCAGCCCTCTCATTTTCCTAAGCAGAGGAAGTAGCTACTCAGCAGCTAGTTAGCGTAGCTGAACATGCTTTCCTGCACTTCCTTCATCTACCAGCACCCACGGGACGCGGACGGCTGGACACACAGAAAAACAGGGCTGGACCCACATGTGAGTCCAATAAGTGCCATTTTGGGGCTAGTTCTTGCTCCTCTGGCCTCAGTTTCTCATAAGAGGAGTTGAGAGAATTAGCCCAGTTTCACAGAGCAGTGCGGAGGGCTGAGGAATGGATTCCTCCGGTGCCGAGAAGCCCCTGCCTGCTCCCTTGGCTCTGGGCAGTGAATGGGCAGGTGGCTCCGGATGGACAGGAACTCTCTTCTGGCGCTTGGTCTCCTGGAGCCCAGCCAGGCTGGCTTTTGTGGAGGTCGTCCTTGGAAGGGAAACATTAGCCCAGTTAATTTTTCATTATGGTAGGTGCAAAGTTCAAGAGAAGTGGGATGGGGCTGGAGGCAGAGGCTGTAATTCCCTGGGAACAGTTCATCCTATCAGGGAATTGCCTCACAAACAGACTTGCCAAAGAGTTTTCATGTGTTTGGAGTGGCTCCCAGGTGGAATACTGGAAAGTAACAAACATATGACTTCAGTTCTGATTATTTTTCCATTAGCTAAAGGGTGTTTAATCAACAAGTGGTGAATCAAAAAAGAGTGTTAAAATTGTTCTGTCTTCATTTTACACAGACATAAGGTGTCATCTGTTGAAGGGAGGTGATTGCACTGTGGGGATAAGACAGGATCTAGTCAGGGCTAGAACTGTCAAGAGTGCCGTCATGTAAGAGCGCCTCTGCCTCTAGCTCTGTGCAGCACTTCACACACGTGAGCTCTGCCGTGGCACCAGGCTGCGTGGGCTTAGACCTTTAGCTCTACCACTTCAGCTGTGTGGCTTTGGGCAAGTCCTCTCACCGCTGTGTGTCAGTTTCCTCATCCATACAATGGGAATAATAATAACACCTACCTCTTAATAATGCTGTAAGGATTAAGTATTTCACACTGCTTTTTCAAATAACCCATGTCATGAGCCTGCCTCATATGTATTTTCAATATATATGGACGTGGTTGCTGCTCACTATAGAGTACTAAGCAAAAGGCAGAAGGAATGAGTTCTGTGTACATGAACAAATGGAGGGATCTTAAAAACAGTTCCAAGCGAAAACAGTAACACAGAGAATGAAATAAATAACATGTTACCTATGTAAAAAAAATTACATGTATATAAAACAACAACTATATACATTTTGGAAGAAGTCATACAAAAAGATACACATTGAACTACTTCACACCCATTAGCATGGCTATTATCGAAAAAAAAGCAGAAAAGTGTTGGAGAAGGTGTGGAGAAATTAGAACCCTTGTGCTTTGCTGGCGAGCATCGAGCATACAGCCACAATGATGCAGCCACTGTGGAAAATAGGATGGTGGTGTCTAAAAATATGAAATGGAATTACCACTCGATCCAGCAATTCTGCTTCTGGGTATATACCCAAAAGAAAAGAAAGCGGGGACTCAGATCTGTATTTGTACACCCGTGTGCAGAGCAGCATTATTCATGAGAGCCAAAAGGTGGAAGCAACTCTATCTATTGATGGATGAAGGATAAACAAAATGTGGCATATATACACAATTAAATATTCAGCCTTAAAAAAGAAGGAAATCCTGTCACATGCTACAACATGTAATCAATGAATGTTGTGATGAGCGAATCTTCAACCTGTGGATGAATCTTGAAATCACTGTGCTAAGTGAACTAAGCCAGTCAAAAAATACAAATACTGTATGACTCCACTTACATGAAGCACCTGGGTAGCCAAATTCAGAGCCAGAAAGTAGAATGCTGGTTGCCAGGGGTTGGGGGAGAGGGGATGGGGAAGTAGTGGTTCATGGGTGTGGAGTTTCACTGGAGAAGATGAAAAGCTCTGGAGGTGGAAGGTGGTGATGGTTGTATAGCAGTGTGAAATACTTAATGTCACAGAACCATACACTTAAAAATGGCTGAAAAGCACATTTTATTATGTGTATTTTACAATAGAAAATACAGAGGAAAAAAATACACATTAAGCACAGTGGAATAGGCATTTGAGGGCGGGAGTGCAGGAGGTAAAGGGGAGAATCGGTAAGGGAAATCAGGGATCTGTAAAGATGAGGTAGGGTGTAATGGGGAGTGTGATGGCCCCACCCTCCACTCCAGAGCTGCAGTTGTGCAAAGGGCACAGCACATGGATATGGTGAGTCCGTATACTGACGGTTCTCTGGTTTGCTCAAAAGACAGAGCCTTTGGTTTCCAGCACCTTCCAGCCCAGGGATCATGATACCTCACATTTGGAGAACTCAAAGTTATTG